GGAGTGCCCATTATCATCAACCCCATTTTTAACCTGGGTGGTACATATTTTTTCTCCAGTGCAGTGATTGTTTTTGACAAGCCTTCCCAAAAGCCCATACCTATACCCCATAACTATGGGTGTCACTACATTGGGGGACTGACTGCACTTCAGCACAGAAGAAGTCCCCCCAGTTCTTTCTGCCATCTGGGACTTATACCCTGTGACAGTGCACATATTGGACTGAGAGAGCAGGAAAGGATTTCAGCTGGATGTCCAATACAACATTGTACCTATTCTATATTGGTAATTTGGTATGAGGAAGTAACAAGAATGACTTCTTCCCTGATCCCTCAGAAAAATACTTGGGTATTGGTCTAGGGCCTGTAGACTCTTCCTTCTCACTCTCATTGGTCCTGGGAGGCATCAGAAAGCTGGAATGTCAGGGCTGCTCTGGATCTGGATCATGTTTATCAGCCTGAGAGGGCAGTGTAATTTGTTTCACCCTCTTCTCTTGAACTACCTGACAGGTCTGGTTGTCGGTGCCACATTTGTAAAAGGGCACGCCAAAAGGTGCCAACAGATGGTGCCTTTGGCGGGGGGCGCCCCAGGCACCATTACCTGTGTGCTTTTGAGAGAAAAATTGGTTTTGTGGATTTTTTTATGAAAGATAGGGTTTTATTTTGAGTGATTGGTTGGTGTGTTCGCTGATCCTCTCTGACATACCGGTGGGTGATGGATGTCATGAGTGGATGAGCAATGAGGTTTTCTGGTGGGTGATGGATGTGATGATGAGGAGGATAGAAAGATGATGACTCCCCTCGGGTAAGGGGCGTGATATTTACACTTAATTTGGGGTCTAAATCGGGTTCCGCATGACCCACAGAACCAAGGCCCCGCATGTCCAATTTGGATTTTGAGGGCGGGGCATGGTTGGTCTATGCCGTACGCAACTGTACCAGCGCATACTGGCATTCCCAGGGGCCACATGAACAGAAGGTGCTCTGAAGGCCTCCCTGAAAAAGTTAGGGTTAAAGGTGCGCGCCCCACCCCCTTTTTGGGAAAAAGGGTGCGCATGGGTGCGCGGGCGCGGGGTGGGCGCACTTTGGTGTGCACCTGCCACTGGCGCCAACAACCAGACTGACAGGTCATGGCTGATGCAAGATGGCATTGGAATTAACCAAGGGGCCACTGCTTGCTTGGTCCAGACTCCAATAGGACCATTGCTCTCTTGGTCTGATATGTGCACTGTCATAGGTATTGGTCCAAGAGAGCAGGAAGACCTGGGGGTCTTCTTTTGTGCTGAGGGAACTGTTGAAAGCATCTGCAAAACTCAAAACAAACTCCACACTATTTTAGTGAAAAATTTCCAAAATTTAGGAGAGGTGTTCTCATTTGATTTTGGAACAACTTTATTGGGCAATACATTGTATTTTTTTGGACCATTTTCAACAACCCATCTGGACAATACACAAAGATATACTATGTTACATTTTGATAATGGTCTGTATCAGTGACAACACTATTTAAAAGTTAGCACATTTTTGCGCCCTGTGTGTGTAGCTTAGCGCAGAAAGGTAGAAATGTGCTAATGCTACACTGAATTTTAGTGTTTATTTGCTGCACTACACCACACAAATGCTACAGTTTGCGTAGCTGGCCCACCACTGCTGACATTACCCATGCAGGCCCCCAAAAAGTACCCACTATGCTGTGCCAACAAGCTGGTTAGCAGCATTTTGGCCCTGTAGTGGCCTGTAGCACAGCAAAAACCACAAACTTCTGAATAACACTACACAATTTCTGTGCACAAAAAAAGGACCTTGTATCAAGTTGGTTGCCAAATGGGGCCTTAACTCTTCATCTTTGAGCAGGTCTGGTGAGCTCAATTTTTAAGTGTAACCAGTGGGCTCATTGATGTGCGGCTGAATGTCATCTCTAACCATCTTGGTAAAGACAAGAATTCTTGAGCCAATACATTCTGCCACACACCCGCCAGCTAACAGAAGCAGATGAGCCAATTTTGGACCTCACTGCTATCTTGTACAACTTCCAGTATACAGACAGCTACAATTTTCTCTTGACCTTGTTCCTCTGCAACAGAAAAATTGTAAAAGAGCATGCATCTTCTTTTATTCAGCTTGAGGCAAGATATCTGTTGGACCCACACTATCTGGAGCATAGTATTAGCTGGAGGAAGGCTATCCTAGCAATGCCAACACATCCAGTGACTTGCTGACATGAGCTCCCATAGGCAGTGCCGGGGTGTTGAATGGATCCAAAAGTTCCTTTTTCACAGGTGAAGGGACTTGCATGTTATGTAGCACCTGAACCACAGGATTGAGGAAGGTGCTGTTGTCCATGTGCACGGACAAATCTGATGTTATTGAAATGGCTTATATTCCAAGTCAGCCCTGGAATATAGCGGCCCAAACACCCAATACGCATGATGAGAATTGAAGACTTAAACTTTCATTCTCCTTCACCGCATCCTCTCTTCCCCTCATCCACTCACATTAACTCATCAGATTTAGTTCCTTTTTTCCTCAAGAAAACAATCATTCAATCAATGCGTAATTTTTCTTGTCCTCCCACCCGCCCTTTCTACATAAAATTGAGGATAGCTAGTTTTGGGGTTTCTTTGCTCCAAACCTATCTCCCTCTTTGAACTGTTCTGAAAAAAATGAAAAGCAAACTAGGATCTTCCTTTGGTCTATAGACCTTTTTTCCTTCTGATAATTTGTTTTTATCATAAAGAAATAATAAGAATTAAGATCTATTAACCACCCAAACTCGGATAGCTGGAGGCTTCAAATCCACAGCTAACCTAAGAGATACGCTGCGGCGTATCTCTGACAAGAGTACCTTAGGAATGATTGAAGTGCTAAATGGACAAGTTGGGAATAACCATCGTCTGACACTCCACGGAAGGAAAAATCACCCTACCTTAACACATGCCGCGGCCTGGTTTATAAATGGAGGACTTCCCGTCGGAATCTGCGAGTCCCCCAGAACCGATCTAGAGCCTCGAAAACCAAATTCCCCTGCGAGAATCTAGAGTTTTCGAGTCTAGATCGACTTCTGCGAGGGCTCCAGTTCGCACGGGAAGTCCTCCAATAGCCGATGAACACCTGATTGACCCACTCTACATGAAACACCACAAACATATCTTCAAACACTCTAATAATTCACTTTGTCACCCTCTTTGTCTGAATGACCCCCCTTCATGCTGAAGACTGTTTGATCATCAGACACTAATTGGCTTCTGCATCAATTGCCTGATTACCTTGATTAACCTGGCAGTTTCCGGCCACATCCTCTACCAAGTGCATTCTCGGACGAAAACTCATACTTGTATACACCGCTGGAACCCTTCCTCTAGAGTTCAACATCAAAGAGATTATAGCTCCAAGCCTAACCAAAGCGTTCCTAAGTTTTGCACAGATAAACTCGTTTCCAGGTTTGTTATTGCCTGCGCTTTCCTTGCTCTTTCTAAGCAAATCGTATGAAGCATGCTGAGTGGTTGACGTGCGATCCTCTTTTGACACCTTTTTATAATTTGATCCGCTTTCTCTTACCATCCTTGCTCTATTTAGGTGTCAATTGGAATCTATCAACAGATGCGTACTCGAGTTGCTGTTTTGGCCATCTTTGGCTCGTCGTTCTTGGTCGACCAAGGCATAGCACCCATGCAACCTGCGGCATCCGCGCTCGAAAATCTAGGTGATGCCAACAAATTAGGGCCGACAAGCACAAACATTCCCCGGGCAGGAATCGATCAGCAATTCAAGGCATGGGAGGTTAAAGACGCTCCTGACATCGCTTCGACCACGTTGCCTACCGAAACCTCTCCGACTGAGACATTGAGGAACGATGCCGCCGAGCCAGGAGGGGCTAACTCTGCTTCTCAAGAGAGTAAAACTTCTAGGCCACAGGCGCCTTCCCAGGTTAATCAAGATTTGAAAGTTGCTCAACAAATCTTGAAGGGATACGATGACCATTTGAAAAGATTACGGTTACGCCAGCCCATCTTACAAAGCGGCTCAGGATCGGAGTTGTTTTGGAGAACCAAAGGCACACCCCGCGACCGGAAACTGCAGAAGGCGGTTTTGCTCATTCTGAAAAAGCAGCCTAAATGGCTGCTGGACTGGGCATCGAAGATGGCAGAAAAGAACGAGATGAAATTCGGAGGCGAACTGTTAGCTCATTATCCGACTGGCGAATTACAAGATGCAGCCACTCTCATTTATACACACTATCCAGGATTACTGAGCGCGGAAAAACGAGCTGACTTTAAAGCAAGCTTACCGCGGTTAAAATACGATTCACTCCAAAAAAAGAGAGCTTGGACCGCCGCCAAACTGATCTTGAAGGACCAACAAGACCAGATCAAAATCACCAAGAAAGCTCCTCAATCCAAATTATCGAAGATTTGGAATTATTACAAAGGGAAGTTCACGACCTGGAGACTACGGAGGGCAATCGCGGTCATCTTAAGAAAGAAGCCAGACTTGTTGGATGAGAGGCCAAGGAATACAGCATTCAACCTTGGAGTAGATCTTGATCAGGGGGAGGAGAAAATTTCAGAGGCCACTTCGGAATTAAAAAATGCAGCTGATCTCATTTACAAAAAGCATCCAACATTGCTTAGCAAGCATAAAATCACGGAGAAACAAAAGGAATACAACATGCGAAAAGCGCATCAAGGCTAGAGAAAGACAAAGAATTCAACCATGGGTACTGGACTGAATACATTAGCTCAAATGTTTAAAGTTCACTCTTGATTGAACCCATTTTTTCCTTCTGTCTTCTACCATGCATACTGCTCTCAATCTTCTCCCACAAATCAACCCCTTGAAACTGGGTTATAAGAACCAACCAAGCTAAAATCTAAAAAAAGAAAACAATCACATATGTCCCAACAATTTGCTTCAATTGATACTATCTCTTGGTTTCTCTTACAATTTCAAATGAATCACTTGGATGAGTATCTTCTTAAAAATAAGATTAACTAAGATAGAATACAAGAAATGAATCTCATCTGTCCAGAAAAAAAATCTCCTCATATACATCATATTTGCAATGCAGAGGCTTGCACAAATCAACAACTTGCAATTAGCATATTCAAACTAACCAAGCTAAGCTTCAAAATGAATCTTACCTATCCCAATAGCCTGGATCTGGTGAGAGACACTCAAGCCCCTCAACTTGGTGTATCAGTATGTTGGTTTGAGAAAATATCTCTCCAAGCTTGCCACCCAACACTTCAACTTGTAAGGAACCTAAAAAAATACTTCTCAATAATTATCTGGTTCTATCTACCTCTGTGAGTTCTCTTTCCAATCATATCAATGAGTTCGTTTAAAATTTTTGGTGCAAAAGCTCACTCTCAACATTACTTCATATCCTGTACTGGATGTGCAATCAAAGAAAACTGGATATGCAGTATTTTTTTCACTTCTTCACACCATATTAACAAACAAAATACTGCATATCCAGCTTTTTGTACAGCATATCCAGTACTGGATATAAGGTACTGTTGAAAGTGAAGCTGTATATACTGATTGAAACAGTACATGTATGTGGAATAATTTTTGTCTGCAGAGGAAATTATAGTGTCACCTCAGAATGAGATAAAAATGTGTTTACAAAGGGGAGGACAAAAGAAATTACTTTCATCTCTTCCAAACCACAGTTGTGAGGATGGATGAGCTAAAGGAGTCATGTATATTTTGAAATTCCAGCATGAAATTCCTAATTCCTCAGAGCTGTCGTTGAGAGTTTGGGCATCAGCACCTTCTTTGGACTCATGGGAAATCTGAGGCAGCCTGGTCGCATGGCTTGGGGTTTCGTCAAGATACAAGATAAAGGCACAATCATCATTGGCTTAAATTCAAAAGACTGGTTTGCTAAGCTCAATGACTGCTATTGAAATTTATGGTGATTGATTGATTGATTGAGCAGGCTTTTTTGAAGGCATATCTCACAAAAAAACAGATACATGATAGAAAGAAAAGTGACTGATTAGATTTCAAACACTAATACATTCCCATCATCGCTACAAGACAGGAGTTTCTTGTGATCACTTGTCATTTTAGCCATGTGAACGACATCTCGATGTCCCGAGTGAACCTTCAACTGTTCGGCCGTTTTAAGATTCCATGTAGAAAGCGTTTTATCGAGCGATCCAGTCGTCATTTGGCCAGTGGCTCGATCAATGACTAGAGTGGTGATAGCATCCTGTCATTTCGAAAGACGGTTTTTTTTTGTTCGCAATCCTTTTAGTATCAGTTTTGTTTCTTGTGCATGGGAGAATGATGCTTTGTCAATTCTCAGGTTCATATCGCTCACCTGATGACGGATAGAATTCCGCAACTTGAACGAAGCAGCATCATAAAAGAAAGCTGTACCATCTGTTCCTGCGCTGATCAGCAAGGGTACACCAAGACCTTCAGGCTCGAATATTTCTACTTCGACCGTTGCATGACTCTCATGTTCATCTAAAGCTGCTATCACTGTACCCATCTTCAAGTTGACCAAGCGGACTCCACCGTTGGCGATACCTCCCAGAACGCAGATCGTGTTGGCTTGGTTGATGACGAGTGAATTGATACCAGATTGATCTTGCTGTGCTCTGAATGCATACTTTCCTTCGTTCAGGTTGATCTTATGCAGCGGTTTACCAGTCTTGGGATCCCAGATAAACAGCATCCCTGAATCCGTTGCACTCAGAATTTTCTGACCTAGTTTACAGATAATGGACAAAAAATCAGGTTTCTTGTAAGATTTTCATCTGGATCTAGGTGGGGTGACGAGGATAGAATTGACTCACCATCCGGAGTAAAGTTGCCACAAGTAGTCATTGAATTGTGACCTGAAAAAACTCGCATTGAACCCGATGGAACTAGAAAAGTAGATCGGCACAAAGTAATCAAGGAAACTCTTGAGAATTACAACTTTGTTCGTGTATTGGGAGGGGGGTGTTGTCTAACCTCGAGGTACAGAAATAAACGACTTTACGAACTCAGCCACATGTAGATCATCCCATCTGAGAATCCGGCCAGTAAGACTGCCAGTTTGGGGTGCCATGTAAGCCACTTGTCGGTTGTGAGAAGAAGAAGAAAAGTATACGGTGATCATTAGACAAAGAAACGAGTGGCAAAAGACTGTATTTGAAGGGAAAGAATCCTACGGTGACTTCTTCGGAACCTTCGAGGTCCATGAGGAATTCCCATTTTGAGAAAGCCTGAGGATCGCAATTTTTCCAGATCTTGATGGTCGCGTCGACGCCGCCAGTTGCCAGATATTGGCCATCACAACTGAATTCGATAGCCGAGAGAGAGTCTCGATGGCCTTCAAGTTTGAGAATCTCTTGACCAGTCGAAGCATTCCAAATATAACCCAGATCATCCGCCCCGCCACTAGCACAGACTTGAGGATTACAAGGATGAGTTGCCAGACAGAAGACCGGTTCTTGGTGCTTGGTGAAGCGTGTGACGGAACTATCGAAGGGTGGCTCGGATTGCTCGTGAGGCTCCCCCATCTCTTCATCCATCTCTTCATTCTCGTCTTCATCCATCACCACTTCTCCTTCAACTTGCTGACAGTCAATAGTTTCCAAGATATCTTCTTCATTGATTTCTATTTCCTCTTCAGTGTGCTGTTCGTCATGTCCGAACTCGTCACCGTCGGTCATTTCTGGTTGAGATGTTTCGTTTTCTGCGATTGCTTCCATTGCTGTTTCTCTGTTTGTTTGGTATATGGTTATTTCCTTCTCGTGACTGTGGTGACTACCTTGTTGGTGAGTGTGTGCTACAAATTATCCAAGCCAAGCCAACAAATTTCCAAGGGTCAACCCTCTTGTGGGTTTCCTTCAAATTGCATAACGGTAGCCCCTCGAGGCGCGAGGTTGACCCCCCATCGGGCCATCGGCTACAAACCACCTGCAGTGAGCAGCTCAAGTCGGCGGGTGGGCCCTAGTAGGAGTGTAATACAACAGGTACGAGTCTCCAAATCACTGGCACATTAGAGGGACTGACTGTTTCAATGCGTTCGCTTTAAGGTGAAATCTGGCAGAGTGCATCGTGACTGGGTCCGGAGCATCGATCTCATTTCACCGCAAATTAAAGAGTGTTACATAGACTTATAGGTGAGTGGTAGTATGACCACCTCGACCATCGTTTATGGCCATTACTGAGAATTAGGTGCTGTTATTTTTGTCAGGCTCCTCTAGAAATGTCCGAAGTGCGGAACTACTACTCGGGTGGATCGACTAATAGGTTATCATGGATGAGGCAGTCAGGAACCTTTCTTGGCTCAGCGCTTTCGAGTCCTCAAGCAAGATACATCCTCTTCCATAATCTAAAACCGCTGGTTATCGACCAACCGTCTGAGACGATAGATGGCTTCCCAGTATCCAATAAACTATCGTCGCTTCCATGGCAAGAGGTGGCTCTCATGTTGAGTCCAACTGGCTCAGCGATCGTCGATCCTGGAGAGGTTGTAGACCCCTCAGGCACCATGTGGCCAAAACAACTTGCTTCACATTCGGCAAACGCTCGGCAGCCCGTGCTTGACCAATGTCCGATCATCATCTTTCTTGGCACTGATAACTCAACCGAACATCCCGAGGTAGACAAATCACTCCAACCAGGCCATGGCTCACCAGTTTGGGCTATCGACGTCACTCCCATCTACGAAAGAACTTCCAGAACACTTCTTCAACATGGTCGATTTTTGGACATGAAAAAAGCCACTCTTGCGCTCAAAGAAGCTAACCTTGCTGCTCAAGCTAGGGCTTTGATCGATTGGAATCTTCGCAACAAGTTTTGTGCTGCTTGCGGTAGACCGACTTACTCTGCATGGGCCGGATGGAAGTTGGCGTGCACATCAAATATTCAGAAACATGGAGGGGCTGACGACGGTGACCTAGCAACTACCTCGCCTGGATGTGTGACAAACAGTTTCAGCATTCAGAATTTTTGGTACGTATTTTTACAGGGTTTGCTTGTGCTCAAAGAGAAATCCTTACGTTTAAAACTGATCGAGTCTTTAATGATGCAATTTATCGAACTTACCTCATCACCCATTATCCGCTTTGACTCGACAGTTTTCGTGAGTGGCTGGAAGGTTTTCTTTTGGCCCTTGGTACTTTTCACTAAACCATTGAAGTTGCATGTCGTTTCTTTTCATTCAAAGCCCGTACCGATCCCGTGTGTATAATGGGAATTACCAATTCTACTGGAGATTCAATTTTATTAGGACGCAAGTCAGTTTGGCCACCTGGATTCTATTCGTAAGTTGATCGTATCCCTTAGCCTTCATGATTTCACAAGGAGACTTATAGATGAATTGACTGGCATCAATATCGCGTTTTTTCCCCTAGTTGCTTAGCAGGCTTTATTGAGCCTGGGGAGTCGATCGAGGATTGCTGCCGACGTGAGGTGCTCGAGGAAGCCGGGGTTGAAGTAAACTCAGTTACTTATCGTTAGTAGTTGTATAACAGTGAAGCTTTCGTTTGCTATAATCTGTCTCTTGAATGATGACCAAGGTTCAACCTCCAGATTCGAGTCAACCATGGCCATTCCCTGGTGAGTTACCCTGAAGAAGAAATTCTACCATCAGTTATATAGCTAAGGTAATTTCAATTGCGTGCAACTTGCTCACCATGCAAATCAATGCAGGAAGTTTAATGATAGGGGTCATGGGCCGGGCCGCAGAAAATCCGCATATACGTCTTGATCTTGACAAAGAACTTGAAGGTAAGAAAAAGCTTTGCCCAGTTGTGGTTGGGGGGAATCTTGATGGTATCTTCTTTATACCCCTTTTCAGGTTTCAAAAAACTGACTCTTTCATAATTGTCTACCCCTTGTATCTTACAGACGCCAAATTCTTCCCGAGATCATTAATACTTGGAGTTCTAGATTCATCCAAAAAGACGGAACTGACTGAGGATGAATTGCGACGTTTTGATGATAATTACAAGTCATCTGTGACGGTTGATCCCGTGGTTACAGCTCAAACGTCCAGTTCGAGTAAAATCCATTTAACCATCCCTCCACCAGTTAAGAGTTCCCCCTTGGTTTATCCTGGTGCTATGCTAGCCTGTGTTGTGAGAGTATACTAACTGATGTGATTTGTCTTCAATATGTATCTCAAAAACGCAGACTGCGATTGCTCATCAAATAATCCGAAGTTGGGCCATGAACGATGATCAGAATGATGGCAAGGGTAAGATAGGTGAAAGACGTTCGAATTATTGATTTCTATCGTGTCTTTTCTCACAGGCCAGGGGAAATAAAGAACGAAACAAAAGAAGAACAATCAACAGTTTTGCCATTTCAATCCTTGAGAATTGTACAGACATTGTAATCAATTGTTTTTCTATTTTTGCATGAAAATCAGATCGAGTAATATTTTGTTTTCACATTTCAGAGTGAATGTTTTCCCTAAGTTCAAAAAAATATCAAAGAAAGCATGTACAGTGCCTAGACAGTGAAAAGTGGCTGCTTATTTTGGATTCCAGAGCTCCAAAACACAAATTTGAAATCATGAGACTTGGTCAGGTGGTGCATAATAGCTCCCAAAAAATGAATTCAAAATTTGTGAAAAATAAAAAATAAAGTTTATTTTTTTCAAAAGCCTTGATATTCATTTTTGGGGAGTGAGAGTGCTGGGAGAAAGAAAGATTGGGACATGAGAAGAATGATTATAAATAAAAATTTGGGAAAATTTGGTTTCCAGATGACTCTAAACAGCTGTTGAGTGGGGCATTCACCAGTCCACATTGCAGTAAAGCACTAGAATTTACTGTTTTGGCTCCAATCTGGACAACCAACCTGGCTGAACCTTTTTTGGTTCCAATTTTTTCATTTATAATCATTCTTGCCATGTCCCAATCTTCCTTTCTCTCAGCACTCCCACTCCCCAAAAATGAATATCAAAGCTTTGGAAAAAAATAAATTTTATTTTTTATTTTTCACAAATTTTGAAACTTTATTTTTGGTTTTTATTTTGGGCGTTAATAAAAACACACGGTAAATCCATGTTTACACACGGTTTCTGCTGCGCGCAGCACACGTGGATTCTGCGTTTGCACACAGTTTTTTATTTAATTTTTTACCGCTTATTTTCGAGTTTTTTTTGAATTTTGAAAATTGTTTCCTATGTTTTAAAGCGTGTAGAATTCAATGGTAAAAACTATGTTTCATAAAAACGACTTTTGATTATTATTATTTTTTCCACTCATTTTTTCAATTAATTGTTTGCATTAATGTTTTTACCTTATTTTTTATGTTTTTTTGGAATTTTAAATTTATTTCCTAGGTATAATCAATGTGCGTAGAATTTAATGGAGTGATCCAAATTACATAAAAATCAATGGTTCACTTTTAATAATGAAATTAGACACATTTTTTCACTTAAATTTCTACAGGTTAATTTTCATTCTTTTTTGACATTTTAAATTTTTTTCCTACACTTTAAGACATGGTTGAAATGATGGTAAAACTCATTTTGGATCAAAATGAAAAGTATATCTTGAATACTGCATTTGACATGTTTTTTTTTGTTTAATTCTCCACTTTTTCACTTGATTGTTTGCATGAATTTTTTTACCTTATCTTTTGGGGCTTGGTTACACGACTCCCAAAAAGTGGAGAGCCGACTCCCAAGCCCCGGAATCTCCGAATTTTGGGAGTCAAACCCCCAAAACCTTTGACTGGTTTGGGAGTCGACTCCCCAAAAAAAAATATTAAAAAAAAAACAACCCCCGGTCAGTTTAGGAGTCGATCCTCCAAAACCGACCAGGGTTTGGGGGTCAATGAAGCAAAAGACCCACCAAAGCGGCCGGGAGGAATCTTCCCGGCCGGTGGGAGTACACTCCCGAAGGCCGAGGGAAAACACCTCGGCCGCTAGTTTCCCTCGGCCCTCGGCCGCTGAGAGTACACTCTCGATGGCCAAGGGTGTACCTCTCAGCCATCAAGGGTATACACCTCGATGGCCGAGATGATTCCTCTCGTCCGTGGAGGATAGAGACACGCTCTCAACGGCTAAGGGAGCACTCCTTTGAAAGCTGGTATTCCTGTATCAATGACGGAGGGTTAGGGCACTCTTCGGCCATCAAGAGTGAACACATTGAATTTTCAGTCCATAAAGCAATTTAAGATGTAAGTGCTACACATTTTTCTGACGTGGGTAGCAAAATATTACAGTTTATGAGTTACATTAGAGAAGAAGGTACACACCTTGTATGTAA